GTGGGGATGTGTGTTGGTGATCAGAGAATTAGGGTTTATATAGGCTACGTCATGCTGTTACATGTGCTTGCATACAACTGTGTGCAAATACCACTGTATACTGCTTTAAAAACACCTCGCACACATCTGATACTGTACAGCTCACACAATCTGATCACATATGGACATATGAAATTATATTATATATTATGCAGGATCTATGTAGAATTTCTGAGGACATTTGAGTGTTTCTCTGTTTAATATTTAAGCTAACTGTATTATAATTAAAGTTGTATTTTGAGTTCAGTACAAGTTACACCAGATTCAGACTGCATGATATGTAAAATATTACATGTTAAAACAAATCCGATTTCTGAATTTTTGCAGTGTCATGCATGAGAAAGATGTCAGACTACAATTTGCTTCCTGATCAACTTGCTTTCATAAATAATGTGCACGATGTCATCGAAAAGATGGAACTACAAATGACTTCTTGGCTACTGAAGCTTTATGCTGTGTATTGTCCCAACAAAAAAACAGCTTAAATCAGCCTAAGATGGTTAGCTGGTTTTAGCTACTAGACCAGCCTGGTTTTAGGGAGGTTATGCCTTTTCCAGGCTGGTTTCCAGACATTTCCAGCCTGGTCTTAGCTGATAAGGCTGGGAGATGACCAACTAAAACTAGCTTGACCAGCCTAGACAGGGTGGGAGCCCAGCCAAAGCCAGCTATGTATACCCCTCTGAAAGCAGGCTAGTCGACCAGCTAAAAAACCCTAAGAAAGCAGGCTAGTCAACCAGCTATGTTTCCATTAGGACAAAAATTATACAAGTTTTCAACAAAAGAATACATTACAATAAAGAATGAATCAAGTTCATTAAGAATTAGTTGTGTTTAGTTAAATGTTTTTACAATACATGGAGTTTTTATTTTTACAATATATGAAGCTTTAAAATATGCATTTTTATTCAATGTTTGACGCAATCTTAACCGGTATAATCTTAATAGTGTAGCTCCTCCTCTTAAAAAAAAACAACAGCCAACAGCTCATCTGCCAGTGAGTGTGTTTGAGCTCAAGCGCATCAAATAAAAAGCAAATGATGGCTATAATGTGATGAGAAACTCTACTGTGAGGTGACATGAATAAAACCATTGATCCATTTGGAAAAAAGTGACAAACTACAAGTCTTTCATGTTTATATCAGTTTTATATCTTCTTAATGAAAATTGTATCACTGTTTTGGGGCACACTAGCTTTTAGATACCCTAAAAATTAACGATACAGATACGAACATTTAAAAAACTTTATTTTAATTTATTATTAATTATTATTAATTATTTCGTATAAATTTTATTTAACTGCTGTTGACGAGGCATAAGTTGTCCTGAATGAACCCAGAAAATCCACATTGAGGCACTTCACTCCAAAAAAACCGAAGGAATAAAATCTGAAGATTTACTGTAGGCCCAGCAGTCACATTCAAACCCATTATTGAGCATCGCTATCTATAAGCGCTCTTATTAGATAAAAAAGATCTGATGCCCTTCAAGGTCGGCTTCCTGAGATGTAACTTAACCTGGAAATGAAGACGCATCCTATTTCTCACAAGAGAAAATATCTCAATCGATGGCTGCTGGATATTTCAGATGACTGTTCATTCTATATTGATAGCTCTGGTTTGATTAAAATGAAATGTTGCTTGCCGTTGAAGGTCAATGAGTTCACTGACACTGACTTTAAAGTGCGAGAGCTGTTGAGAAAGGGCACGATGGGATTATGAGTCTTAAACTGTCATTGATGGAGTGCATTAGGAGAGAAATCTTAACCTGAAGCTTCCTATCAGCACAAACACTTTGCTTACAGTCTGTGTTTAGCAGAGAAAAGATACATGCTGTGGTCTGACCACATCTGGTACTGCTTTAGATTACATTACTGCAGTCTTCAATAAAGAATAAAGTTTTTATTAAAGGAAAAATCCAGGTTCAGTTTAAGATTGTGATAAAGATTCAACCACAAAATTGCAAATGTCTAGTAAACATCTGAGTTACAGTATGTTTCTTGCAATGGAAGTAATTGTGGCTATTATTATTAGCTTAATGTTTCAGCATAAACATTATATACACAGCAAAAACTAGTGTAATCAAAAATTCACATTTAATACATATGAAATCAAAACTATCTGTACTGATTTAGTTAGCTCACATTGCTAGTTTTGTGGTGAACAATTCATCTTGTGCATGACATTAAAAAACAAAATGTTCACCCTTGTAATCTAGAATTGAAATCTGAAAAATGCACTTTCAATTTGTTTTCAGTTGAATACTCAGATTACATCTATCTGAGGTACTGGGCATGATTAATATACTTAACCATGCCCCTCCAACTGTCAGTTTTGACAGTGCTATGACAACAAACAGAAATGGTGAAGAGATGGTGTTTGTTAGGATGTTGTGTCCCGATCTTTCTAAATGAAATACCTACTTTACAACATCTAACCAACTCGCAGTACAAAAAAATAACCACATTCACTGTTTTTCCATTTAAATTGCATTTCTCTAGGAACAAAATATGAAATTACAAATATGAAAAACCACACAGCTTTCGGTTCATGTGGACTTTAACATTAATAAACTGTAAAAAAAAAAAAAAAACATCTCTTACTAACCTATTGTCTACAAAGCTATAAATGAGTATGCTAAAACACTAGCAAAACATTATACTGAAGTCTCACCAGCCACTTTATTAGGTACACGTGTCCAACTGCTCGTTAACGCAAATTTCTAATCAGCCAATTACATGGTAGCAACTCTGCTACCAGTAAGTCAATCTGCTGCAGTTCAAACTGAGCATCAGAATTAGGAAGAAAGGCCATTTAAGTGACTTTGAAGGTGGCATGGTTGTTGGTGCCAGACAGGCTAGTCTGAGTATTTTCAAGCACGACCATCTCAAGGGTTTACAGAGAACGGTCTGAAAAAGAGAAAATATCCAGTGAGTGGCAGTTCTGGGGGCGCAAATGCCTTGTTGACGCCAGAGGTCAAAGGAGAATTGCCAGACTGAGAATGGTTTGAGCTGATAGTAAGGCAACAGCAACTCAAATAACCACTTGTTACAACCGAGGTATGCAGAAGAGCGTGTCTAAATGCACAACATTTTAAACCTTGAGGCGGAAGAGCTACAGCAACAAAAGACCACACAGAGTGCCACTCCTGTCAGCTAAGAACAGGAAACCAAGGCTAGAATTCGCACAGGCTCACCAAAATTGGACAATAGAAGATTAGAAATATGTAGCCTGTTCTCGATTTCTGCTGCAACAGCTAGTAGGGTTAGAATTTGGTGTCAACAATATGAAAGCATGGATCCATCCTGCTTTGTATCAATGGTTCAGCTGCTGATGGTGGTGTAATGGTGTATAGGATATTTTCTTGGCACACTTTGGGCCCATTAGTACCAACTGAGCATTGTGTCAACACCACAGCCTACCTAATTATTGTTGCTGACCATGATCATCCCTTTATGACTACAGTTTCCAGCAGGATAACGCACCATGTCGTAAAGTGCAAATAATCTCAGACTAGTTTCTTTGACATGACAGTGAGTTCACTGTACTCAAATGGCCTCTACAATCAACAGATCTCAATCCAATAGAGCAATTTGGGATGTGGTGGAACGGGAGATTCCATCATGGATGTGCAGCCAACATATCTGCAGCAACTACGTGATGCTATCATGTTAATATGGACCAAAATCTCTGAGGAATAATTTTAGTACCAAAAACGGCAAAAAAAGGGGCCAACCCCGTACTAGTAAGGTGTACCTAATAAAGTGGCCAGTGAGTGTATATGGTATTATGTACAGATTATTTCAAGAAAGTTTTTTATCATTATATACAGTATAACTGTAATTATAATAATTGATATTTTTGGTTTACTCATTACAGTATTTATATAGTTATTACATTGTTATTGCAGAAAGTCATTATTACTTGTATTATCAAATATATTATTATTATTAATGTTATTATTATTATGATTTAGATTTTAAAAATATTTAATTTTCACATTGTTTGACCAATGATTTTTTTTTGTCTCCCATTATTCTATTAACCTTTCCTACACTTCTTCAGTCAACTTTAAGACATGTAAATGAGCCTAAATTGCACTGAACCTGGAATATAAAGTCTAATTTTTTTTAAACCATATTACAGATAAGAGTTGCTGCTACAGGAACTGTAATTCTGTCCCGCATGCTACTATCATTGACCACTGTTATCTGATTCTCCTGGATCATCTTACACAGAACACTATAAATTTGTCTTGCATGTATTACATATTTCTAGGCCATGATTTAAAGGGAACCTATTCTGCAAAAATCACTTTTATAATAGGTTTAAACATAGTTGTGTGGCAACAGTGTGTGAATATAGCCCCTATCTAATAGAGAAGTTGATTTATTCCTATTTTTTTATAATTACATTTGATAAAAACGGTCTGCAGAAACATTTTGATTGATAGTCACATTTGTGCAAATCATCAGTGGGGGAACGTGTCATGCATTAGTGAGGATCTTTCCCTCAATAGCATAAAGAGCCCTAAGTGAGAAGCAGCCGTCCATAGAAGAGTTTTTGTACTGTATCTGCTGAAGGTAATTTCAGCATCTAAGAGGCATTATAAATGTGGAGTTTTTCATATGGAGATATCCTGTTATTTATTGCTGTGCTAAAGCATAGACATTTGTAGCTTCGTCCTATTTTGAAAAGAGCACCCTCTCATTTAAATTTAAAGTGACAGTCCTAAAAGGTGTCGTTTAAAAGAGTTATAAAAATATTTGAGTGGTATTTTGAACAGAAGCTTCACATACACACTCTAGGGACACCAGGCGCTTATTTTACATCTTGTAAAAAGGGGCATAATAGGTCCCCTTTATAGTTGCAGATTTGGAGCGTTACACTCACCATCCATAAAGACCATAGGAATGTGACTCTTTATAACGCACTTAAGTTTATCAGGGTTTGTGTTGTACTCACTTTGCGCTCCTTGTCTCCGTACTCCAGGCCCAGTGTGTCCATGGCACGCACGATAGCAGCCAGAGACTGGATGGTGTTACTGTAGACCACCGGCTTGTACTGCTTCACATCATCACCGGAGAATCCATCCTCATGGATAATCCTGCACACACAACAAGATGGCACATTAGAGAGCATGTTTATGGATGTTGGAACACATTCCTCTTAGCTGGAGGAAGCAAATTCCAGCCAGCAGATAGGAATCATGGTCTATTTCACTTCTTTTTACAGGCTTTTCTGGACTGGCAGTCTATTGGCCCGGTAGAGCAGAGGAAGGATGGAGATGGAGATAGAAAGCAAACAGTGATGTTCAAGCATGTACAGATAGTGATGCAATATGTCTGTTATCTCTGTTTGGCAGCTTCAACCAGACTGCTCAAGTCTCTGTGGAAGTATCATTGCTGCTCTTCTGCCTTGATATATGCAATCAAAGTTTGCCTAACAGCCATTATGATTAATATATCTGTAATTACCAAAGTCCTTGAGTAAAAGTCAGATTTTCCATGTTCTAAATAGAGAGTTACTCAATTTTATGCTGCCAAAAGGGTCATATATAAATGATACTGTATAATATAATATTTATTTATTTAAACAAGATTTAAAAGGTGCCATAGAATGCATTGATATAATATATTAAATTGTTGCTAAGATAAGTACAAAATTCTCCAGAAACATTTTACAGGTCCATTTCTAACCATAGGAGTTGGCTCTAATATGATATGATTGGTTTTGACCATATTTGGAAGGGTCATGAATGTTAATGAGCTCTAGTCTGCCACTTCAGCAGTTAATATCAGTGTCTGACAATAACACACACAGTGTGATGTACTTTGAAATACAGAAGTACGAAAGAATCAAAAAAAATTTTAGCTGCATTTATAGAGGAGTGGTTTATTTTAGCTAGAAGGAGTGAGTTAGCTATCTTTATGCCACCAGAGTAACCTAGCTTGCTCCTGAGTTGTGTTGTTGATTAAATATAGGCTAAATTATTATTCTACTTGACAAAAAGGGCCAACAGATGTGTTTAGAGTTGCCTTATGTGGGTTTAACGTAACGTAACGTTTAACAGATAACATAAAAAGATGAGTTTTATGAAGTGTATTTCTGACCTTTCAGTCATAAAAGTGCATTAAACACTTTGTACTCATTAAAAACATGCACATGTCTGCTGCCTCATTACAAACACGTGCAGAAATTTTCACAATATACACTAGTTAGCTAAATAAAAATAAATACTGTACATTTAAACAAATATTTTGCTCATTCAGGGTGGCATTGAATAAAATGTATAATCCGCACCTCTTGCATTTGGCATTCTGATGAGCTTTTGATGATTGCCTGCTTTACAAAATTGCTTCCTTAAAGCATACTCTGCTTTTAAAATAAGAGTCCTATTTGCATATTAAATACAATATATGTCTAGATTAACTTAAAATTAAGAAGAAAGTGATCATTGCTGAAATCTCACTAGGAAACGTTGTGAGAATGTTATGAGACAGACAGTGTTTTTTGTTCTGATTAGCCTGTTTTTCACTGGGATTTTACACAACTGCACACATGATTTACATAAGAATGAGAAAACAATGGTGTTTGAAGATCACAGTATTTAATTTACATGTACTCAACTCTTAGTATTCAACTGGGTATATTCAGATTTTTATTATTTGGCACCTTTAGGTCTATAAGAAATTTGCAAATACAGCATTTTTTACTTTCTGATGCTACCTGAATGATGAACAATTGTTTTATGTTTTACTGTAATTGTTTGTGAGTCTCTTGAGCAGTTAAAACTGATTACTGAATAGGTTTCTGAATATATGAACTCCTTCCAGCAGAAACTGCATAATTTAGAGGTTCATTTATTTCCACACAAAGGTCAATAAGGGACTCAAACACAACTATTGCAAAAGGTGTAAATATTCACTGATGCTCAAAAAGAACTGTGGTGGGGGTGGGGGTACACTTTATAAATAGAAAAAATATGTTTAACCTATTTATTATTATTATTATTATTAACTAAAAAATAAAAAATGATCTGGAGTCATGTTACACATATATTAATCGTAATCACAATTATGCAAACTTTGATTGCATTTATCAAAGCAGTGGAGGTGGGGGGATACACTTTATAAAAAGAAAGATGTATGTAATCTTTTTAAAATCATTATTATTATTGTTATTATTATTCATAATAAGAAGAATTTTGAAACTGAAAAAAAAGATGATAAAAACATGATCTGAAGTCATGTTACACATATATTAATTGTAATGACAATTAAGCAAACTTTGAATTTATCAAGGCAGTGGAGGTGTGGGTACATTACATAAACAAAAAGATGATGTGTAATATATGTATTCTTTTTAATATTCTTATTTTTATTCTTCTTATTATTATTCTAATTATTAATTTTATTATTATTGAAACTGGATAAAACTGATGATTATTAAACAATCAACTAATCATTTTCATTATTTTTTAAGTGAATTAGGTTTTGAAGCCTCCTGCAACACACGCTTACCGAAAACAAAAACTCCCATCTTAGTAATAACACAAATGAATCCTAGCTAGATCAGCACATTTACAGTAACTTATTATCTCTGATGCATTGCGGAGTCAAAATTAAGTGTTTTAAGTGCGCCAACACATTATGTTGTTCATTATGTTAAAAAGCAATCAAGGACTTTAAAGTCTGGTTGACGCATCCAAACAGACATTCTCATGATAAATACTTCAGATTTGCATTGTTCGTAAAAAAAAAAAAAAAAAAAAGATAGTTATGCAGCATTCATAACTATTCAAGTCAAAAGCTACATGTTTACTACCTGATGCCAAATAGTACAATTAAGGGGAGGAATGATTAATGTATTCGCTAACAGTGTTAATGTAAAATCTAAAAGTAAGCATTACATCAACTTGCCACATTTGCTGTAGCCAGCATAACCAAACAGCTACTGTCTCCCAGCAGGGGAAAAGTGGTTTATCTTCATTTTGGGCTATTGAGAAACTGTTTAAAGATGCAGTTTTGTGTCTTGAGAATTATGGCAATAAGTGCAGTTGTGTCTCTGTGGTGTTGGATTGCAGTGTCTTCTTTCTGGCCAGCTGTGTCCTTTATGCTATGTTGTACATTATTACCACCTCTTGTTTGATGTCTTTACCCTCAGTTTCTCTCACATTTAATATTTGAACTGGTGAAATGGTGTCATTTCTGACATAGACAGCAAGCCTGACTTTGATCAGAGGAAAGTAGAGCATTCAAAACAGCGAGGGATTGGTTTCTCACAGCGAATATGACCCTGCTGGAGCCAAACCGCAAAGGGGGCCCCCAAATGGCACTTGGTTCTCCTGTGACCAAAACCCCTAATTCAATTGATTTAGCTGAAATTAGGTTTGGACATCTGTCTGTTCTGTAATACTGAAAGACGGCAGGTCATTTTTAGATCCTGTGGCTTTGGCCCTTTGTGAATAATAAACACATAGACATGTATTATATGCCTTTGTTTTAAGGCGTAATGACATCGTCTGGCCCTAATGCTAAAGCCAATGAATTATCACATCAGCGCTCGGACGGTCTTAGTAAACGGTGTTAGTGTGGCATGAGAAAAGCCAGACAGACTGGCAAAGCCTGGCATTATGCAGACCCAGACATCACACTGGTTTATTACACTGGTGCCAAAGAGCGAGGTGCGATGAAGCATGTGTTTGGGGGAGATATTTTTGACCACTTGGTGCACACAAACATATACACACACACACATACAGACACTAAAGGCCACTACCTGCTATCATTAGCTTTTATCTATTTTATCTATCATTACTATTATCATTAGCTTATTTTATGAAGCAATAGTAATATTCTGTAATATTAGTTGTAGGAATAGAAGGTTAACATGTTTTTTTTAAAGTTCCCATTGCAACATTGCAGTGATTTACCCGATTAAAGAGTAGGTTCACTACAATCTGAAAATTCTCTCCTAATTTAGTCACCCACCAGTCACTCTGAACTAGAAGACTGAGAGATTTCTTTGTTTTCACAGAAAGACTGTTTACCCAAAACTCTCCTATCTAACAAGGAATTTTCCGACAACATTCACTGGCATTCCTTAAACATTGTGTAAATGCTAGCACACAAGGTTATCAAAATAACATTTCCAGAACTTTCTTATAATGTTTATCGAAAATCTTGGGAAAACACTAATAAAATGTGAATAAAAGATTTTAATAGTGTTTAAAAACAATTCTGAACACATTAATATAAGATGAAACTAAAAATGTTAGATTATAAAATATGTTTAATTATAAAAAATGTTTAAAAATTTTTATAACTAAAAATAACATTAATGCGTTGTCTAAACAAAACCGTCCATTTAAAACATTCTAAAAACTTTCTACACTTTTAATAACTTCCTCTGAATGTTAGGGAAATGTTCTTAGATACAAAGTAATGTGGGTGAAACATTCTATTTAGGTTTTAAGTAACGTTCTGAGAACATCAATATAAGATGAGACTTAAATGCTTTAAAAATATTCTGAATAATGTTCATATTACCAAAAAATAATGTTAATACCTCATATAAAAACTACATGTTTTGAACGTTCAAAAAACATTTAAAAAAATAATAAAGTTACAATTAACTTAATGAGAACTTTAAAGGCATGTTTTTGAGTCCAAAATTGATAGCATGTTTGCATTATAATATTATATGTAGGACTTTTCACAAATAAACACTGATTATCTAAAAACATTTACAGCATTTAAATTGTTATGTTTGATTTGAGAGCAATTTCATTTCAAGCAGATGTGGTTCAACTTGTTAACCGATCAATGACTATTTATATTATACATAAAAACCTTTGTAAAACCTTCCTTCATGTTCTGAAATATCAATAAAAAAAGTCGGTTTGGAAGGATATGCATATGAGTTAAAAGGTATCGCTTTAAATGCTTTGTTAATTATGTGCCTCTAAATACAAGATGCAATGTATAGCGTTTGGTTTTGACTCATTCACAGCTTCTGGCACTCTAGTGGTAATTTACAAACATAATCATGATTAATTACCACAACATCAAACAGTTCTAGAAGGTACTAAACTACACACTTTCT